TTTTAATGAATTATTAAAGAACTGAAGGAAAAAAACGCCGCAATCTAATTTAGAAAGGTTGAAACCAAATGACCTATAAGAAACCAAATAGTCATCGTATGAATGGTACCACATGATGGCATGCATACTGCAATTTTTCTAACTACTGCAATGTCTGAAATTACCTAACCATTATTTGTTATTTGGTGTTAACAGCGTACACTGTGAAAATTTACGCGAAATGAAATTTTTATTTTGCACCATATCTTTTTGAGCTTCATCATATCGATTATTCCCATTGAATTCCACATCACTTCAATCAGAATGATAATTATTCGTTCAAAAATATAAAAATCTTCGTGTCACCGTATAAATGAGCATTTTTGAGTATATAAAGTCGAATATCTTCACTGCACCTTTTTCAGATACAATGAACTTCGTCGTGGACATGGGCAATAATGAGCATCTGGTCCTGGTATACCTGCGCTACCAATCTGAAATAAATGCTAATTATTAAGTTGTCAAAGAGAAGAAGCAATATCTCAATCATTCAAAGTTGATGCAGGTAGATAAAAATCAAATATGGTGACTCATTTAGCTTAGATTTTTCTGCCTATATTAGATGATTTAGAGAGATAGCAATGTAAGAAGTCCAATTAATTCTAAAAAATTCTTAAGAGAAAATATTAAATATACCGATCCAGGGCGTCCATCATTGCCTTTCCTACCATCATTTCCTGGTCGTCCTTCCGCGCCCTGCTCTCCTGGTTCACCATCAGCTCCCGCATTTCCGTCTTCTCCTGGTGGGCCAGGTGGTCCTCTTGGTCCAGTTGGTCCTTTCGGTCCTTGTGGTCCAGTGCCTCGTTTTCCATCTCTACCTGGTGGTCCTGGTCTTCCAGGTTCTCCATCTGGTCCTGCTTCGCCCATTTCACCTGGTGGTCCAGGTGGTCCTCGTTGCCCACTCTTACCCGGTTTTCCCAGTGGCCCACGACGTCCTGTTTCTCCATAATCTCCTTCTAGACCATCTAACCCTGGTGGTCCTGGTCGTCCCGGAGGGCATTCGATGCAGCCACCATTAAAGTGGTATGTTGCTAATAGTGATACACCACTAGCACCATCTCTACCATCTTCACCTACCGGTCCATCATTACCTGTTAGACCTTTGTCACCTGGTGGTCCTGGTGGACCTGGTGGACATAATTCTGGTGCTTGACATTCTGCAACAAATTTTATCCTTTTATCTAATTGTATATTTGTAAATGAAACTTGTCTTCAAATAATTTCTAGAATTTCAAAAAATACCGTAAGTGGTGATGCTTAATTTTTTTATGCTCAAAGTTGAAAACTAACGGCAGTGTGGTGGTGGAACGAACTGTTGTCGTTTGTATCGATTGATCAAGGAGCTGAACGTCTCTTGTCGACGACCACCTGGACCAAAGTGCATCATTACTATTCTTTCCCAAGTATCGTCTGCAACTGTCTGAAAGAATTATGTTCATAAATTGCTTTAAATTTTGATCATCATTTTTCTCTCTACAACACTCAAACCAGCTAACTCTTAGGGTAATACATCACATTTACTTCAAAACTTTTATTGATATCGATTAAATGATCAAATAAGTTAGCTATAACAATAATCATTTTTCTTCATTTTTATAAAAGAAAAAAAGTAAGAGAGAAGTCTTTCAAACAGTATAAATGACATCTTTTGAGTATAAGCTTTCAATGATTATTCATTAGTATCATGCTCCACACACACTTTAAACTTGATATTGGAATTTTCAAACAATCATCTAAAATTCTGCTTTCAAAAAAAGCACTAACTCTGAAGATGCCCATTTCATCCATAACGTCGTCGTGCAAGTTGTTTATTTCATTGAATATTACACAAACGGCGATCAAAGATGTGACAATGATGCAAGCACAACTTGCCGTTGCAATACCAATCATTGTTTTTGTTCTCATTCTATCCCTGTAATCTTAACTATCTTTATTTGATATTTAGATGTCATCAAATATCAAATCAAGGAAATACCCTTCAATCCCTATAATATTCTACCTATGGTACCAAAATACTGAATTCAAAAAAAGAACTCACTATACTTTGAAAAAAATATGGTGGACTGATGCTAACATCAAAAAAGTATGACATTCTGCTAAATCAAGAAATATATAAATTGGTTAAGTAAAATCAATACTGTAAATCCGGAAGTAAAATAAAAAGTTTTCTCAACCTGTTTAACAACTGTATATTTATCGAATTTTCAAAAAAGCCAAAAATATTTTATAAGCTTTTTTTTTTCAGATAAATTGAGAATGTGTTTTATATTACGTTTACATATAAAAGTTAGCCTAAAGTTACGTTAATATTAGGACCAAGGAGACTAACTTCATAAGAAAGCCATATTTTCCTGTTGTCATATCAAATTGTACTTCATCTTATTCCCTCTCCCTCTCTCTCTCTCTCCCTCTCTCTTATGAACCTACCGATACGATACAAGAAAGATGTATGAAATGACTGAAAAATAGTTGCACATAAAATATTTTCAACATCTTTTATAAGGGAGGCGTTCTCTATGGAAAACCGATGATTCTATGCGAAAAAGGCATGAAGAGGTAGTTGTAGTGTTCCACCTATTCGTTAACATAAAAATGTTAAGAAGGAGAGAAGAAAGCAAAATCAGGTGTAGCTACTACAATTCCGGATAATATAACAACATTCGGATGAAAATTTTAAAAAAAAAGATGAAGAGAGAAGGAATTGAAATTATTCAATAATAATACACAATAAAAGATTGTTACCGCAAATATTCCATCATTTTTTCTACATTAACAAAATCAGATACTAATTTTATTTTTAAGCATACCAATGGTAAATGATTTTTTTGAGGATTCATTCGATAAACTTGTTTACAATAAAATTAACTTTCAAACTGGAAAAAGCAATAAGAAAAGATAAAAGAAATATTTTTGATAAAAAAAAGAGAATTGTGCGACATAGTGAGACGAACGGAATCAGTTGAATCGTTTTATTTTCGTTCAATTTTTCAATTTTTTTAAAATTAATTTGTTTGAAAGTATCATACCGCCGCCATAGCTAAATGATAAATTTAGGAAGGAATACTTCCAGCAATCTGTCACTTATCTTTTTCATTTCATCTTTCTTCTATTTCTCAACAAAAATTTACTACTCTTTCTATTTCGTTCTCGTAAAAAGAAAGTAGCGTGAACAGAATTGAACTGTTGAAGAGCAATATATTTGTATAGTGCAAATCAAATTCTTCTCTTCCAACTTTGCTGAAACACTAACATTTTCCATTTCTTAAAGTGATACAATATTGAAAATGGAATCCGTGCATTTTTGCCATCCAAACTACGTTGAGAATGAAAATGTTTGCATGAGCAAACTATCGGATCATTTATTAAAATTTGAAAACGAATCATTTTTGTGAATCATTTCATTCTCATAGAGTTGCTTCATTTCCTTTAAAAAAGGTTGCAGAAAACGTCATTTGTATTACAAAATACAAGTAATAGTGATAGTGGTATTACTACCATTACCATAATCAGACATATTTTAACGTAAGGATAAATATATATATTGTTTCAAATTTCTGGTGATTTCTGAAGATCTCAAAGACCGAGAAAAAAGAAAGGTAGAAATCGGTCACCAAATATCCTGATGAAAAGACAAATAGTGATACAATTAAAATTGAAAATTACGATGAAGATATCACGCCGAAAAATCTGTTAAATCAGGGTATTTTACGGCTGTAAAGAATTTTATCATTTTTTTCCGAACATATGAAAATTCCTCACAATAATGATATTAGGATGAAAGTATTTATGTAAAATTAGTGTGAAACAAATAATTTATGCTTATTAAAAACCCCTACAGGATTTCACAGATTTCTGCAAGTTTTACAATTTAAATTTGGATTAGACATGAATTACAAAAAGCATCCAATTTCAAAGCTAATTAATTTTAACTTACTAAAACTAAATGTTTCTGAGACACTATACATTTGAAAATTAAATTTAAACATTTGCAAAGTTCATATTGACTAAATTTGAAAATACTAATTCACAATTCGAAGAATATTATGACTGGCTTAAATTCGACATAGAATAGGGACATTCAATGCCCGCTCACGTAAGAATTTTTTTGGTTAAATTTTCTTTAAAATTTCTTAAATGATAGAATTCTGATAGCATTGCATTCTTCTTTCTTTAAACCTCAATTTATAAAATACGAAAAACAAATATTATCTTTAACCTAAGTTGAATATGCTGTTGCACTTGGCGCTGTTACGTCTAGTAATATTCACAACTCGATAATCTTTTCTCTGTAAAGAAATCCCAGACAGATGGGGAAATAAAGATCGAGAAATAATATCCTCTCATTTTCAATTGGCATTTTAGATTTTGACATTTTAGATTTTGATTTTGAACGAATTTTTCAATTACAGTAGCCGCAATTAAGCAATCAATAATTTAGGATAAAATAAGCGAATGAGAGTAAACCTATCCTCGATGATAACAAAAAAGATTATAAAAGACTTTTTGACGAATTATACTTAAAAACGCAAATGGCGTAAAATCACGCTTCTCTTCAATCTGTAAATTTTATTTTCTTCTGCCAATTGATCTTTAACTAATGGCAATTTTTAAGTGTAATTACAGCGCTGTAATCAGCTGATAAATTATCAAAAATGTGGATTTTAAAGGAAGTGCGAATTTATACATAGAAATAAAATGTACATTTTTACAGTTTAGGAGATGTGATAAATTGATAATACAATAAAGAAGTACCGTATCATTAAGATGAAAGTAACCGATTGCGGGATTAATAGCACTGTACAAGAAATTTCGGGTAGTCAATAAGGAGTTGTGGAGTTTTCGTGATTTTTAAGCACAATATTGAATAACCGTAATTGTTTGTTTTGTTTCAAAATTGAAAGAGAACTTTTAAGGCTTTAATTGTTTTCAACTGTTTCAATGAGTAGTAGAGATATAATTACATCCATACATAAATTTGAAATGCAAATTTAAAGAGAATTACACAACAACATCTTTGAGATCATGGAAATGGGCTAATTGGAAATTTAAAAGTTACAATTTTCGTTTTGTATTAAGATGATTTATTGATTTTCCTAATGACATTCTATGGGATTCGATAATAAATTGCTAAAAAAATTGTTGAAATTTTGCAGTATATTGAAATTAACTAAAAAAATTTTCAAATTTGATATAAGATTACTTAACAAATAATGTGGGAAAATCTAAAAACGATGAGCATTCCTGGCAGATAATATTGAAAAGCCTAAAAATACTGGGTACTAAGTACCACGATGATTAAATTAATAGCTTCAAAAGCATGAATGAGATAAACTTTCATGACGTCTAACTCGAAGCCAATAACGATTGTTGGTTTGTGTAGCAGTGCTAGTGGATCGAAGCTGATATTGATGTGTTGGTCGCTTGCGAGTCGAAAATTTTCTCTTATTTCTAAAAAAAGAGACTTCAAAAATAGCATATATTTTAATTTTTGTGACAGAAAATCAAAAGTGTTTTAATAAATAGTTTTTTTAAACTGAATACGTTAATAAATTTAATTAATTTTAATTTAACATTTTCAAATTAAATTCCAATGTGATCAATCCTTAATTTATTTTTGATTTAAAACATTCATACCGTTTTGGTGGCGATTTTTTCTGCACTGGCTCTTTGCCAATAGGACTGCTATTAGTTTGCTGCAAATATTCAAATTTATTGCTATTACTTATTTGCAACATTATGTGTATATGTAAAATTTACAGCAATCGATTCATAGAAAATTTCAAAGTGATATTTAGAGGGGAACTATTGAAAATTTGAATTTCATTTACAACACTCAATTTTGCTTCTTTTTCGCATCTCAAATATCATTTAGTATTTTTTCAAATGTTAAATCCCAAATGAATACTACTGTTGATAACAGAAAATTGTTAATTAACATACTCCAAATTCATAAAGCTCAATGTTGAAGCAAAATTAGCATAAAATAACTAACCATAGTTTTGGTAAAAAAATACAAGTTCAAGTAGCCACTAGCATATTTTCGACATACCGGACAGATTTTTGTTTCCCTACCAGTCTGAAATGATTCAATTAAAGTTACAAATGGAATGTAATTTGAGCTTGGTTTAATTTATCGCAGATTAATTCATTCAAAAAAAAGTGCCCGTTAATCTCTGAGAAGAAAAATTACAGCTTTGTCTTCGTTTATTTCGAAGGTTTTATCCAATTAGCACTATATCAGTAATTTGTCTGATCCAATTAAGATAATTTCTAACACAAGTAACATCATTATGTTCAGTGCTGTAATGTGGGAATGCAAAATTATCTTACTGAAGGATAATTTCAATAATATATAGATTAACAAATTATAGATAATATACGAACCAATAACCATGAAGAGATACAAGTTCGATGGAATACATGGCCACACAACAATGCTGCAAAGGCAACTATTCCATCATCATAATCTAAGCAAATCGGGCAATACATAATTCTGTAAAAAAAGGGAAGTAAACAAACAAATATATGAGTGCATAAATTAAGATCATTTAAAAGATTTAAAAGTAGAAAATAAATAAACTTTGCAAATTAAAACGGTAGTTGCATCGGAGAGGTAGGTATTTAACCACAATCAAATGGTTAACACCAAAAAAATTGAGATCAGAAAATAAAAATCAGAAGGAATAGTAATATAAATGAGATAAATGGAGGAATGATATCATGATCAGATATCATTTATTTATTTCAGTAGAGCAGATATCATCATTGTAGGTAAACCTTAAGAAATTCGATCGATGATAAGTATTGATTAGATTAACTGAAGGTTATGAATGATAGAAGTATAGGAACGAATAATAATATTACCGTCCTGATCTCCTCAATTACATAACAATAACGCTACTTCTTTCTCTCTCTTTTAAATCGTCTTTTGAAAGTTATGCAAATTTTCCATGTTCTTAATGCCAATGCAAATTTTCCATGTTCTGAGAAAAATGTTAGTAACTGATTGATGGAATATAATGTTCTCAAATAGACAGTCGATCGAATGATCATTTTTGATTTCAGTAATGATCATTTAAGTTCACAATTCATCCATCATCAAGTCATCATCGGATCAAAAGGAATTAATGTGCGTCGAAGGAGCGAAAGAAAGAGATGAATATTAAAGAAGTTTTCTGTCATCTCAAAACTTTATGAAGTTTCTTGCTGAAACTTGACTTTTGTTAAACCATTATTTATCACCAGCACGATCACTCGAATCTGCAGAAAGCATAAGGGTAGTGATTTAAATAGATCAACAAGATCATATAGCATCAATGAACAAGAAGGCAATAGAAACTGAACAAGAATTGTATAGTGAAAACAAGTTCACGATCATGATCGTCTCATTTATGCAAATATTAGTTCAACATGCTTAACAAAATACCGTAGTAAATTTTTTTAAGACTTTATTATAATTAAATTATTCAGATGCAGACCGCAGAGCAAATTCAAAATTAACATTTTATGAAAATTTTCCCCTTAAATTTCATAATAATTTCCACGATTTAATAATAACACTGATCACTTTCAACTAGGAGATATGAAAATTTCACGGAGAATATTACCCCTTAATGAAAAAAGAACACTGGAATTATATATTGAATATAAAATGTACTTAATTTAAGATTCTATCCATTACAGTCAAATGATCTGATAGAAATTTAATAGTACTGTAAAAACATTTCTTTCCGGTTCGATTTCAATATTTTTTTTAAACTTTCATTGAAGATGGAAATTACACCATTTCATTTTCAGATTACCTAAATGTTGTTGACATATTTTACATTCTTGATGTCACCTTAAATTAATTAACAATCAGTGGTGTATAATTCTGAATAACAATAATAGCAACAAACAACAACAACCGTATTCATTTTATTCAGAAGGCATGTAAATTCAAATAATTCAATGAATCGTAAAGAAAAAAGAAAAACGAGAATTAACCGAGCATACTAACAACCATTTCCATTAACAGTAATAAATCATTGGAAGCTCAAAAATTCTAAGGGTATTCACTTTCTTACAAATATTAATTTCATTCATAATTTAGATGTGACAGTTAAGTTATAATCAAAGATTTAAATTGTAATCGAAGAAAAAGAGAAACCAAAATTCTTTCATTTTTCTATTTCATTTTATTTCAGAGATCCAAAAAGTTAATCTAACGTATGATGAATTGGCAGCAGTATTGGAGGTGGAAACAAGAAATAATAAAAGAGAAAATAAAGAAGACCACAAATAATCAAATATCAAATTACAATAATAAAATCATAATACATCACCTAGCATTTAATTAATCAAAAATAAAATTGTTATAATTAACATACTGACTGATATGGAAATAAAATGGATTATGCATTGTTTTTTTCGTTTTTCCTGAAATGCGATACGGAAAAGAAAAGCTCAATTTTCATGAAAAAATTAGATTCACCAAAAAGTAGAAAAAGAAAGTTTTAAAAAAAGAAAAATCAAACAAAAATAAAATGTGAGCAAATAAAAATTTCAAATAGAATAATAATTGATAGTGATTAATAATTATGAGAAATTCTGTGTAAAATAGTTCTGACAAAATTATTTAATTAGTTGCGTAATTAAGAATTATAAACATTGATAATTATTAATAATGTAAATTGAAATTATCACTTAATTAAATAATCAAAAACAAAAAAAAGAATTAGAAACAAAAATTTAATATAAATGACAAATATGATGGAATAAAATCGCCATAATCCTTACATGAATTGGATAAACTGATAAAATAAAATTAAATCAAAAAATATTAACCGATCGGAGAGCATGAAAATTTTACAGATCAAGAGAAAAAGTTTTATATATGATTAAGTGATTAATATAAATGGTTAAATTGATATGATATAAAAGATAGATAATTGTGGTCAAATGAAAATAAATAAAATACAGTTTTGAGAGAACAAATAAAAAGAAGAAAAAGTCTATTCTATGTATAAGAATGCAACAATATCTCGAGAACTGTAAAAAACAATGGGTATCAGAAAGAAACAGAAAGTATTGGAGCAGAAATATCATTATCACCGAGCACCGTATACTACTTACTGTATCACCTCTTGTTCGATTATTCATATCATTCAAAATAATCATTTTCTTAAGAGAAAAGAAATATGTTCGACTAATAACAACAATTTTTGCCCATTCTTTTTTTTCTCATTGAATTCAGATTATCGTCTTCCTGTTGTATACTCCTGAAATTATTCGAAATTTATATATCATCAATAATTCACACTTTTTTTCTCAGAAACAATTAAGTAGCATATAAAGTATGATAAGATATTTATTCGGAAAATTTGAGATATAGCCGAGAGAGGACAATAGCTATTTCAACTAATAAAATTAAATATGCATTGAGTTCAAAATGCGGAAAATACTACAATCATGCAACAATTGACCGCAAGTGACCATTCAATCTTGTAATTCTATCATTACTTAATAATTCATTTATAAATCGAATAATGTATGAAAGAGATGGAAATTCTTCCGGGACAAAAAAATTCCCTATTGTTTTTCTATTTCTGTTTATTATTATAAATTCATTTTCGTATAAAATTATATTTCATAGGAGATAACAAGAAGTAACAAACATACTTCCTTATATGAGCGCTGATATCGTTCTTCCACTCTTTCTCGTATTGGACCACTTTCTTCCATCCCATCTATAATCGTTATAAATTATCATTGAAATTCAAAAATTGATTTAATTCTTTCTTTTTAAAATATTTATTAAAGCCAGCTAATACAATTCTATGAAGAAGAAAATATTTTTGAAAAGTACAAAAAAATTCGAATTCGTAAGGAATTCATATTTGAAATTGGCACAAAGTTCATATTTGAAATTCACACGTATAATTAAAAATTTTTCTTAATTTTAATTAGCTTAGTGCCAGACGAAACAAACAAAATATTCAGCAATAAGCATTAGATATTGGAAAAAAGAAAAAATTGTTACAATTATTCGTTTCGTTTCGTTTCGTAGAGTGCACTTTTAAAGCGTAAATTAAAGCAAAGAATTGAGCAAAGCCAAGAAGAAATTCCAGGTAAATAATTTTTGTAATATCAAATTTATCAGTGAAAGAGTGATCTCCAACGAGGAGAAAAATATAATTAAGAGATATTAGAAATTTTCTTTTTTTTTTTTGAATTTCAAACCGAAAGGGATAAATTTTGAATAATACAACTTTCTTCTCATCAAGTTCTTTTATCATAAGCTGAACACAAAACTCTCAGACGAGGACATTGCGTACCTCGATCAACATGAGACAATGAGTTACTGTATTTTTTCATTCGATCCAATGTCTGTCCCATAGGTTCGTTAACAATGTCAATCAGGTCATCGGGCCAATTATGCGATGGTAAATTACCAGCTGTTGTCCTTCCAATACCAGTTCTTCTCTCATTTTCTGCAAATTTATAGTGCACTTTCCTTTTTTGTGCTTGCACTATGTAATTCGATTTTTGCGCTTCAGTTTTTCCGATGTCAAATTGAATGCAGCAACTTTAAAATGCTTTTAGTTTGTAGTCTGATCCAATTCTATCATCATTTGATCACTCTTTAAGCAGCTCTTATAATCAAAATAGTAGATAAGCTCGTCGTATATTTATGCCATAACATAAGATAAAATTGAAATTAAGCTTAGCATTTCTAATTATATTAATCACACTCAAATAATTCTTGAAATCAAAAACTGTTAAATTAGCAAAATTGGCATTGTGCAAAATTGTAACTGTGATTTTTATTTTGGCTTATAAAATGTGCAGTGAAAAGTAATACTGACAAAATTTCTTTTCTTAATCTAATTTAAACAGCTCAAAAACAAAAAATTAGTATAAACAATAATGAATGAAATTATGAGGTGCAATTATTACCACTGCATTACATCTAATATATGTAGTAGTACCGCTGTAATTATTTGCTTCCAAATTTGTCCATCTTGAAATGTGCATGTGAAATTCCAAATTGAAATTCCCTTTCTAATAAAAAACAGAATTTCAATATATACTCATATACTCATCAACCACATATCAAGAGCATTACAGGAGAAAAGATACCTCCTCTACGGGCACTAAATGAGGTAGATGCTGTAGCCCTTGGACCATATCCAACATTTGCTGAAGCACCACTGCTACTTGCAGCAATAACATCACCAGCAGGTGCTTCCGCACTTCTCATTTCACTTTTCGATGTTCGATATGTATCTGCAATTATAATATCACTTCAACAATATATCATCTAAGATCGTAAAAGAAGTATAGTTAAAATGAATTTAGTGCTTAGCATGCAAATTCTCTGAAACAAACCAAGAAATGTGAATTTTATTTAATTTTAAATCATTTTGAATTAATTTCTACTAATTAATTTACTTCTCAAATTATAATTTATTCATTCCTTTTCATCCAAATTCCTTTTTTTACTAAAA